AATTATATTAAGTTAAGTAAGCCAGGCCCAAAGAAACATAGGTCCCGTGGTTTCCCTTATTTGCAATATCTAGTATATGTATGAGTCAAGCAGAAAAGGTCAGATAAGGTGATGTTAGGAAAATGAACCCTAAGATATGTATTTAAATGTTTTTTCTTCTTTCATGCATTTGTTTCTAACGCATTTATAAGATGATTTCTTTGTTGCTTTGTATGTCCCTCCCCCACAGTATAACCCCTGCTTTCACTATATTTGATGTCGGTACAATTTGTGGAGGAGAAGGGGAAAAACAAGTTTCTTTGTATGTTCTTCCCCCATGGTATAACCCCTGTTTTCACTGTACTTGATGTTGGTGACGTGCATCTTGTATATATACTTCTCTAATTTGTGGAGGGGAAGAGAGAAAACAAAATGCTTAAATAGGGATACAGGCTGACCCATTGAAACAATGAAATGTACAAGACACTATGTTGAAAAAGGAACTTTACAATTTAGGTGGGTGTGGGGGAAGAGTAGTTGTAGAGGTGGAAGAGAAGGGATGGTAGGGGAAAAACAAAGGAGGAGGCAACAATGCTTGATAGGAAATGTACTCATTACCTTGCTCCTGTAACTGTAACCCCTCTGTACAGTATTTTTACAATTAAAAAACATATTTAAAAAAGGAGAACTCTATGCAACAAAAGCTATTTTTAAGGCGGAGCACCGATAGTTCATGTCCGTAATCCTTGCTAATCAGGAGATTGATGGTCTCAGATGATGGCAATTCAAAGGCAGCCTGAGCAGAAAAGTCTATTAGACTTCATCTCCAAAATAACAACAATAATAAGCAATGTTGCAGTCATGGCTTAAGAGGCAAGTGCTAGCCAAACAAGCAAACTGATAAGTGTGAGAACTGGAATTCAAATCTTAGTACCATCAAAATGATGATGGATGATGATGATGATGTTGATGATGATGACAATGATGATAATGTTTTTAAGTCAGTGGAAACATAAATCACTGACTGTGAAAAAGTATTTGCCATATGATGAGGAATATGTTGAATACCACAACAAACTGCTATGCATCAAGACAAGCCAAGAGAAAATGGACAAAGTCTCAAACAAGCACTTCATACATATTTTAAGGCTGCATAGGATCAGGGTTATAGCTCAGTGGTAGAGTATTTGCCATGCATACACAAGAGTCCGGGTTCAATCCCAACTATAATAAAAAGGAGGGAGGGTATATAACGGCCAACAAAAGTATAAGAATAGGGCTGGGAAAGTGGCTCAGTGGTAGAGCGCTTGCCTTGCATGCATGAGGCCCTGTGTTCAATTCCTCAGCACCACATAAGCAAAAAGAAAAAAGCCGGAAGTGGCGCTGTGGCTCAAGTGGTAGAGCACTAGCCTTGAGCTGAAGAACTGAGGGACAGTGCCCAGGCCCAGAGTTCAGGCCCCATGACCGGACCCCAAAAAAAAAAAGTATAAGAATATACTCAATTTAACCATTCACTAAGAAAATAAAAATTAAAACTCTGAAATAATAAATCATTACAATGATGAACACTAATAAACATATGTACATAAAATAATTATTATTAGTGCAGCCATAGAGTGACTAGAACTCATATTACCAATGGGTGTAAATTGCTATCAACATTTTGGAAAACGCTATTAAACTTAAAAGTATGTATGCTCTATAGGGATACAGGTGGACCCATTACAACAATGGGTTATGTCAAAAACCGCACTTTACAACTTTGTCGCAGTGCGGGGGAAAGGAAGAAGGAGAGAGGAAGGGATGGGAAGGAGAAACAAAGGAGAAGGCAACAATGCTTGATAAGAAATGTACTCATTACCTTGCTCATGTAATTATAACCCCTCTGCACGGTATTTTCACAATAAAAAAGAAGTATGTACGTTCTATGATGAAAGATAGCCAGTATAGGCACACAAAAAGTGTTTTAATTCAAACGAAACGTTTATTTTCAGGCTAAGCCAAATAAACTGGTGACAATCAGTTATAGGGGCACATAGACAATCTATATCCTCTAGTTATGCTTTCATTGAATGTGAAGAATGAAAATAGAAAAGCAAGAGAGACCTTGAAGTCAGGAAACAGACCTCAGGAGAAACTAAGCTTGCCAACACCTTAACTTGGACTGGACTTCCAACCTCCACTACTGTGAAAGAATGAGTTGCTGTCATTTAAGTCTCTTCATCTGTGGCATTTCATTATAGAAGTCTGAGCAAACTAATACCACATACCATCCCAGCCTTGATTTTCCTTTGGCACTGCACTTCCCCTCAGTCCATCCAAATGCCAGATCAACAGGGTTCTGTTCATTTTTGTTCCAGGACTTATCCCAGTGCTTGCTTTGATTCATGCACTTGTCTGGTGGATCTTCACTTTGTGCCCTGTATCATTCACTGATTTCCTCTCAGCTACTGCCTCAGAGTCCTTCTGCACTTTCTCCTCCTAGATCATCTTCTTTCAGCCTCAAGCTAGGAAAGCAGTTCTCCACGCCACCAAGACTTAAGAGTCCTTGCTATACCCAACCCTTGTCTGGCAAGCCAAGTGGTGCCGGAAACCCACCAGTGTCAGAGACAGTGGGAGGAAGGGGGAAGCATTTTAGAAGATGGCAAGAGACTAAAGCTTTTTGTTTTTCTTTGTCTCTCTCCAAGAACTTCCCATTGATTGATTGATAAATATTGCTATGGTCCCTAGCAGAAGGTACGGGTTGGTTCTACGCTCAGATTTTACTCCTGTGGGTTAGCCAAACAGGTGGAAGGCTTTCCAATAGGAAGAGAAAGCCAGACACATTCAGAGTGATCTGATGGACGTGCTGAAACCCTGGCACATGCCTGTCTACACTAAACCTTCACTCCAAGAACACGGAAACCAGACTATTTGGGATGGTGGCCACGTGATGAAGTGGTGAGCAAACAGCTTCCCCCGCACTCCCTGCTTAGGAGGCAAGTTTGAGGATCTGCTATTTGTACCAAGACACTGTCGATCTCTCTCCCATGTGTCTGTTGGAATTATCTGGGGACTATTGTTTAAGAGCAAACCTTATTTACTTTTTCCTAATTCAGTTGCTACCAGACCAATGGCTTGGTTGAGCTCTTGGGCTTCTTTCTCATGATAAAGAAAAATACCTTCATAACCTTACTTGTCCTTTTCGAGAGAGCAGATATTGACATCCTCAATCCCCCATAGAACTGTATGCTGAGTCTTAGAATTCTCAGGGAGAGTAATTTAGATAGAGACAGTTTGGACTCACCTCGGTGCACGTCTCATTCAAGGAGGTGATGATTTCACAGCTGATAGAAAACAGCACAGCCAAGAAGCAGCAGCTGAACTTGGGAGCCATGCCAGGCCCAAGGCAAGCCTAGCTTGGCTGGTTTATCTAAAGCTTGCGATGAACAATTAAATCGATGGCCCCAACCACTTGACAGCAAAAGAGGTTCCCAGAAGACTGATCTTGGGACCAGAAATGCTACTGACTGCTTGGCACTTAGTGGCTCTATGCTATGGGGTAGGAAAAAGTTAAAAGGGGAAGTTGCTTTTTGCATACTAACCATCTATGCCCCAAAATAACTGAGGACCCAGGCTCAGTGCATTTCCGGGCAAGTGTGAATGATTGGTGCAGCCCCATGACCTCTCACTGAGATGGTGCTTGAGCAGCATCAAGGGTTTGGCCAACCCCAAAGGCTTCAAATTCTTCTGCATGAGAGAGGGCACATACTTCGTTAGTTGCCTAGGTGAGTGATGCAGAGAGGCTGAGAGACAGGCTGGCAGGGCAGGGCACCCCATGGAAGCAATTGGGAGGGCTGTGGAGTGGTAACCAGAGAGGGAAGCAGCAGGTTTGCCAGAGTTAACTGTTCCTTCAGTCTCAGCTGCTGCCAGGGTTAACTCATCCATCCCCATCACAGATCTTCCCATGGAAGGAGGATTCCTTTATCTCTTATCCTAGTGATTCAGGCCTGCTAAAGCAACTCCCAATGCTCCGAGATTAAACAAAGTAGCTTCTGTAAGTGAAGCAATCTGCCTAAGGGGAGCAGAGTGGAGGATGCCACCTGGACTGTGTTTCTCCTTTGCAGCAGGATTGTAATGACTTCTCATTAGGGTGTTAGGGGAGAGTGAAAAGAGAATGTCAGAGTTGAAGCTTGTCCACAATGAGTGGGATTTCCCCAACCCCAGGCCCGGTCTGTCCTCCAGTCATCTGGCATACAAGGGGGTGATTGGTGTTGCGGTTCTTCCAATCCCCTTCTGAGAGCCCAGTTCTTAGTTTTAGAGGTTGTGGAATTCCACAAGTGCTGAGCACTTCCTATGTGCCAGATACCGGTCCAACCCTCTGAGGTTATTGATGTATTTCATGCATTTCCCTATCCTGGGATATTTTTGACTCTGCTAAAGAGTTGATATTGTATATTTCATTTTATAGTAGTAGAATCTGCTAGTTAGGGAAATTAAGGATCTCTCTGCTGCCAAACAATGAGAGCAGAGAATTTGGAGGAATTCAGATACGGAGAGTCTCGTTCCAGTGACTGTGATACTCTGCTCCACCGTTTAAGAGAGATGTTTGCCAGCTGAAGAGAAGATGGAGTGAAGAAAGTTCTTCATCTGGAAATTTCAGAGCAGATGCTAGAAAAATAGAAGGGATTGGAGAAAGTGCATATTTGATGTTATGTGAGAGCTGTTTTAAGAAATCAGGCTTTTTTTTTTTCTTCTTCAAATAACATCTTCCTCAATAGAAGTCCTCTGAAGATACTGTTGGCCTAAAGCAAAAAAGGTGAGTGAAGGCCACCTGGCTTCAAAGAAAGAATCCATTAAGGTATATGGGAAGAGTTAGGGATAGGAAAGTGTCTGTTTACTAACCACTGACCTCCTGCAAGTCATTTCACTTTAAAGTCTCTTTTACCATCTGAACAAGCAGGAGTGAAATTCCTGTTCTGCTTACATCACAGGATAATTATGAGGATCAAATGGGGTCATAGGTAGGAAAATGCTTTCTTAACCTGAAAGCCCTACATAAATATGAAGAATGTGAAGCAAAGACTTCTCTCGGAGTCACCAATTCTAATGTCATGTAAATATCACTCTCAGGAAATTGTCTCCTGCCCCAGAGACATTGAAAAGGCATATTGCTTTCCTTCTTAAAGAAAGGTTTGATGGCTCGGTTAAGGCCAGAAGATTTTGTCATTTTCTGAGGCCATACCATTTGCATATGATTTGCATGTGTTTGCATAATGGATTCAAAAGACTCACTGCAAGTGTATAAGAGTAAAAGAAAATAAATGAATATGAGTGACCTTCTGCCACAGCATTCAAATCAAATATTCAGGGCATAATACCCTGAAATATGAAATAGATTAAAATTTAAACTATTGCAAACAGATAAGAAGATAGGTTTTAGAGTTCAGAGGCGAGAATAAAACTCTTATTTGGTCCCAGGTTGTAAAGAATCACATCCTCCTAAAGGTCAGCCCATCTAACTAATTTTCATGCCTGAATTCTCTCCTCCACACCCCTTTGCTCCACTTCTCTATAGACAAAAGCCTACTGCTCTATTTTCCAGTCTCTTCTGAAATGCCTCAGTGACAGAAAACTTAACTTTCCTCCAACAAATTGTTCTGCCAACTTGGACCATTTAAAAGATTCAGTCTTCCACTGAGCTATTAAAATCTTCCCTCTAATGTCCACACAGACTTGCTTGTTTTCTCCACTGAACAGAGTCCATTCAAATTCCTATCTGCCAACCTTTAGGTATTTAGAAATAATTATGTCTCTATCTCTTCCCCTTTCTAAGTTAAAAATACCCAGTTCCGCAAACAGTGTCACAAGTTTATTCATTATAATCCCTAGCAGTCTATTTATCTGAACATTTCCTAAATCTCTCAAGAAATACACTGATTTGAATTGTAACCCTAGCTTTTGCATTAACTGGTGGTGTGTCATCGGGATGATCTCTCTGTCTCAACTTGCTCCTCTACAAAATGATAGAGTTGTACAAGCTTATTCAAAGATACCTCTTCACTTCCAACTCCATTACTAAATTACAATTTCTAGTTTTACTTATATAACAAAGCTGTTGACTTGAGCCAATGAAATGGAGTTTTACTTACTGTTTTGTGGACAATCTGCTCTCTCTGTCTTCCTCCAGATGGTATTGCCCTTCTTGGCAATCAAAAATAGGTGTAGCTACAGCAACCGGTGCCATGACTGCTGTAATCCTGTCACTTGTAGGGCTATAGAGGGATGGAGCAGTCATCACCCAGGCTAAGGACCGTTTCTTTCAGACACAAAGAAGGAGAGGGGAAAGCTGAGAAAAGGCATCAGAAAACCATTTACCTCTACTAAGCAGCCACCACATTAGTGGAGAAAGAACAAACTTGTGGACCTTAGAAGTTTTCATGAAGTTCAAGTCTCCTTATGTTAGAATGAATGTAGAGTCACATACACGCCTCAAGTCATTCTTTTGGTTGTTGTTTTATTATTTCTACTGAGATTTCATGTAGTTAATTCTTTCTGGTCAGCTGCTTTTCTGGATGTTATCAGAGCGCTGCCCACTTCCTTGTCTGGTAAGGCCTATGCCACTACACTGGAACTATAGTATGGTATTGACATGGGGGTCACTTCAAAGGTAGTCCCTTCTAGCTTTGTCCTATGATAATCCCAAACCTAATTTACTTTCTTTCAATGTTGTGCTATGCTTTTGTGATTCAAATGTGGCAAAGAACTAAGTGTGTAATTGTACCATGCTCACTTGGTACAATTGTCCTCATTCTGTTTTTGGCTTAGTTTTAGTTCTGCTTTTGGAGTCTACTTCCTTTTTACTACACCCTCACCTCTACTTGGTATCTAAAATGTTAGTGCAATATTTGAATAAGACTTTGTGGTCATGATATTTCCAAATACTTTTCTACTTGTTCTTTCTTCCATATATATTTTTTTTATTGTAAAAATACTGTACAGAGGGCTTACGGTTACATGAGTAGGGTAATGGGTACATTTCCTATCGACGATTGTTACCTCCTCCTTTGTTGTTTCCTCTACCATCCCTACCCTCCCTACCTCCCAACTCCCAACTCCTCCCTTCCTGGAAATTGTGAAGTTTGTTTTCAACATAGTGTCTTGTACATCTCATTGTTACCATGGGTCAACCTGTATCCTTATTTAAGCATTTTGTTATATCCTTGCTCCTCCCCAAATTATAAAAATGTATATACAAGATGCAGGACACCAGAATCAGATACAGTGAAAACAGGGGTTATATAGTAGGGGAAGAACATACAAAAGAAACAAGAGACTCACAGTGCATTATACTACTTTTTTTTTAAAAACTAAATTCTTCTGACACAAGGTGCAGAAGCCATAAAGGCCCAAAGTAGAACTCTCTCTGAGGGCAGCCTGGTGCTGTCTTGTGGGCGTATGGGGACAGCATCTTCTGTTCCTCTGATCCTGCCTTCTTATGCTCCAAGCTGTTCCTTTTCGGTTAATGACACTTGTGACTGGACAGAGCAAGTGGTACTACAGCCTCTCTCACATCTTGGAGAGGATATCACTTTCTTTATATCCTGCTTGATTTGGTAGAGCAGGGAAGATTTTTCCTCAGGTCCTGTGGCTGGAGTCTGTGAAAGGAACTGACAAAAGACAGATGGACAGGAGATAAAGCATAGAAATTTAAACTGATGCCAATCTATTTTTGCAACACAAGTAGTGGTATACAAGAAGGAAAAATGGCCAATTAGACTCAAAGGTTTATACACCATTTTAACAAAGATCAATAAATTGCAGAGACATGGTGAGAATCGAGGAAAGGCATATGAACAAGGAGCCAAAAACTAGAAAATTGTGCAAGAAATATATTGGGGAAATTAATGGAAGATATAGGGAAGAGTGACTTTCTCATGGGAAATTTTCGCCCTGCTCTTAGGAAGAAATGAGGCAGGCAAGAGGGCCTTTTCTCAGTTCCTCCAGCTTGAAGTAATCAACCCACCCAAGTGGCACATTTGAGGTGGAATTTTCTGTGCATTCTGGATGGCGTGGCTGCCAACAGCAGCAAAGCAGGCAGAGTGTCCCCACACGACACTGACAGCTTGCGTTTGTCACGAATGATGTTCTAGGTATTTTCTATCTTCAAGTCAAAGCCGTCTTGTCTTTGGCACTTAAGGGAAGGGAGAGAGAAGTCCTCCATTTTCTAATCCAAGGAGAGTTTTCATTTCCTGTTCTAGGATCCATCTCTTCCCAAGATGACTGATATTGGAAATATTCCTTCTCTGGAGGATCTCATTAAAATTAATTTAAAAATTAACATTGAAATATTTCCCCAAATAGGGGTTTCATTATTTTTTGTGGGGTCATCCCTGGATATATAAATATATATATATATATATATATATATATATATATATATATATATATATATTTCTAGGAAATGTGTGCAATATATCAGAATATTTTTCAAGCTTTTAACTTTCAATTAACCATAATGTTAGTGTTATTCATTAACTTATCTTTCATGTGATGTATT